AAGCTCAGGGGGGATCAGAGAGAGTGACCTAAGTTAAGGATAGTGATGGGGGTGTATTTTGTGTTTTATGGCCCCCATGTCATAACCCTTGAGGGGCATCTCATTTAATTCTTACCCATTCTTGTATGGCAGGTCATGGGGCTTCCAATTTATTGGTGGGTAGAGAGATCCACTAGCCATCACATCTCAAGTTTTGGTACTCACTATTTTGTGCTTAGTGCTTATAAGTATTTTCTCTTTGCCTCTTAACAACACCTTATGACTGAGGCACAGAGAGGTTAAGTAAATTGTTTCAGGTCATACAGATAGTAAATAGTAGATTCAGGACATTTGAGAACTCCAGTCATGTCTTCTCTCCATTCTCTTTGAAAAGCATTGCCAGGTGCACGCCTTTAATCCCAGCAACCTGGGAGGCTGAGGCATTGAGGCCAGCCTCAGTATCTTTTTTTTCTTTTTTTGTAGTTGTAGATGGATAAAATGCCTTTATTTTATTTGTTTATTTTTATGTGGTGCTAAGGATTGAACCCAGTGCCTCACACATGCTAGGCAAGTGCTCTGTCACTGAGCTACAGACCTAGGCCCAGCCTCAGTATCTTAGCAAGACCTCAGCAACTCAGTAAGACTGTCTCTCGAAAAATAAAAAGGGGGGCTGAAGTTGTGGCTCAGTGGTAGAGCGCTTGCCTAGCATGTGTGAGGCACAGGGCTCAATCCTCAGCACCACATAAAACTACATACAATAAAGGTATTGTGTCCAATTACAACTAAAAAATATTTTTAAAAAAAGTAAAATAAAAAATTTAAAAGGGCCTAGGCTGGGTACAGTAGTGCACGCCTGTAATCCTAGTGACCTGGGAGGATCACATGTTTAAAGCCAGCCTCAGCAATTTAGTGAGGCCCTGTCTCAAAAAATAAAAAGGGCTGGGGATGTAGCTCAGTGGTAAAGCGCCCTTGGGCTCAATTCCCACTACAAAAAAAGAAAAAAAGGAAAAAAAAGCAGTGTTGGAGGAAACTTAGGGTGATGGGTGATGGTGTCACAAGTGTACACATTATAACTTTCCTGACTGTACACTTTGAATATGTGCTTTTCTATATGTCAGTCACACCTCCATCTCTGAGGGAAAAAAGACAAGCATTTCCTCTGGGCTCACTTGGCCATGCTGCTGCCGTGGGTGAGGTAGGATCACTGTGGTCCAGTCCAGAGGAGATTCTCAAAGGGTTAGTGGTGGATTTCAGGTAGTTTTGACCACTTCTCCTCTTGTGCTCCCACCATGAGGCCAGTGGCTCATCAGCCAGAGGAAACCTTTAAGGCCCTGAGGACAAGGACAGGTCCCTTGGAGGTGCTGCTGCTTCTCTTGGACTGGGGCCAAGGAAAATCAGATTTTGGCCCTCTGTGGGAGTGTGTGTGCATGGATACCTGAGCCATGGACAGGCTTGGGCTGAGGGTAATAGGCTCTCTGAGGATCAGCCCTTTGGAGTCCTTGGGCTGCCACAACAAATTACATAAATTGGATGGCTTAAAGTAACCATTTATTCTGTCATGATTCTGTATGGTAGAAATCTGAAGTCAGGGCGTAAGCAGGGTCATATTATTCTTGGAGGCTCTAGGGAAGCATCTTTCCATCCCTCTTGTAGCTACTGATGGTTGCTGGCAGTCCTCACATTCCTTGGCTTGTAGCTGCATCACTGATTCCTGCCTCATCTTCACATGGCCAGCTTCTTGTGTCTAGATTTCCCTTTCCTTGTAAGGACACCTGTCATTAGGCCCATCCTAATTCTGTATGACTTCATTTTAACCTGGTTACAACTGTACAAATACCATTCCCTAATATGAGCATATTCATAGGTTGGGGAGTTAAGACTTGAACATATGATTCACAACATAAAATTTGAGAGGAGGAAGCCTCTGTGGCGTCCCTCAAAGGGTCAGATAGGCACATGTGGGAATCATTTTTCTGAAAAGAAAACAGTAGCTTTGAGTCTAAAAGAAGAGTCAGAAACTTAATGCCTTGCTGCTTAAAGAGTGTGGTTGCAGGGCTGGGGCTGTAGCTCAGTGCCAGAGCGCTTGCCTAGCATGTATGAGGCACTGGTTTTGAGCCTTAGCACTGCATAAAAATAAACAAATAAAATAAAGGTATGCTGTCCATATCCAACTACCAAAAAAAAAAAAAAAAAAAGTGTGGCTGCCACAGTCCGGCTGCAGCAAAATAACCGGGGGGTGACGAAGAACTTGTGTAGATTGATACAGCAGGAGTGGAAGCTGTTTATTGCAGGACAGGAGCAGTATTTATACATTCCACACAGCTTATCTAATTAGCATAAACTAGATACATCAGTCAACCAATAAGGAATCTCCACACTTAATGGCTCGCTGGTGTTACTTCACAAACCACTCCCTCTGGCATTTTGCCAGGCACCATCCAGACTTGTTTACAGACTCTAACATGTGGCCACAGACTAGCAGCAGCCTCACCTGGAAGTGTTAGAAAAGCAGAATCTCAGGTCCCTCCCCAGACCCACTAAGTCAGCAGCTATATTTTAACAAAGTCCCCAGTAATTAAAATCTGACTTTTATTTCCTTTTCCTCTCATGGTGGGTCTGGCTCTCAATCTTTGTGCATGAGTCAGTTATTCATTCTCTCTCTCTCTCTCTCTCTGCAGTGCTAGGGATTGAACACTAGGACCTTGTGTGCAGGCTAGATTGGTGCCCTACCACTGAGTTACACCCCCACTCCATGGTCTCTCTTTGCATGGTGTGTTCTTGTGTTTCTGTCCCCTTGTGCTGATGCAGCCCATTTGTGGGCCCTTTCTACACAGCTTGGAGTTTGCTAAGCCAGTCCCTTTGCTCATTCTTATTTATTTATTTATTTTTGTGGTGCTGGGGATTAATCCCAGGGCCTTGTGCATGCAAGGAAAGCACTGTACTAACCGAGCTATATCCCTAGCCCCCCTTTGCTCATTCTTGGGCTGTATCCTGCTTTTTAAAAAAATATTTATTTGTTAGATTTAGGTGGACATAATATCTTCATTTTACATTTATGTGGTGCTGAGGATCGAACCCGGTGCCTTGTGCATGCTAGGTGAACACTCTACCACTGAGCCACAACTTCAGCCCCTGTATCCTGCTTTTTGCTGTTTATAAATGTTGCCGCTGTGAACATCTCTCTCCATATTCCTTTGTAGTTAGTTTGTTAGAATGGAATTTCTGGAATCAAGTGCATGAGCAGTGTGGACTCTTATATTATTTATTTTTTGTGGTACTGGCGGTAGAACCCAGGGCCTTGTGCATGTTAGGCAAGCACTCTACCACTGAGCTATATCCCTGGCCCACATCTTTTTTTTTTTTTTTTTTTTTTGGTACTGGGGATTGAACTTGGGGGTACTTAACCACTGAGCCATATTCCAAGCCCTTTTAATTTTTTTTTATTTTGAGACAGGGTCTCACTAAGTTGCTTAGGGCCTCGCTGATTTGCTGAGGTTGGCTTTGAACTTGTGATTCTCCTGCCTTAGCTTCCAGAGTTGCTGGGATTACATCTTATCATTCTTATCACAGTGCAGACATGACACTGGGTTTCTTCCCTTCTCTCCAACAATGTACATGAGAACCTGATTTGGGAAGACAAATAGCAGAAAATGTTTTTATGTCAGACAGATCTGAGTGCAATATGTTACTTTTTTGCTGTGTGACATTGGTCAAGATACCATCTCTGAACTTGGGGTTGCTCTCCTATAAAATCATAATAATGCTATAAACTTTGTAGGTATTTTGTAAAGATAATAATGACACTATCATCCAGGCAAGGTGGTGCATGCCTGTAATCCCAGTGGCCTGGGAGGCTGAGGCAGGAGGATCGCAAGTTCAAAGCCAGCCTCAGCAACAGTGAGACACTAAGCAACTCAGTGAGACCCTGTCTCTAGATAAAAATACAAAATAAGGCTGGGGATGTGGCTCAGTGGTTGAGTGCCTCTGAGTTCAATCCTAATACCCTGCCCCCCGCAAAAAAAGCAACACCATCAACATCAACATTCATTATTGAGCGCTTTCTGTGAATCCTTAAATTCTTTTTTTTTTTTTTAAAGAGAGAGAATTTTTAATATTTATTATTTTTTTTTTTAGTTTTCGGCAGACACAACATCTATGTTTGTATGTGGTGCTGAGGATCGAACCCGGGCCGCATGCATGCCAGGCGAGCGCGCTACCACTTGAGCCACATCCCCAGACCCAACCTTAAATTCTTTTTTAAAAGCATTTTTAAATTTACTTTTTAAAAAATTAACCCTTACATTATTTTGCAAAGTGGGTATAATCATCCCTTTTCTCATTTTACAGAAAAAGAAACAAAAACTTGGATTAAGGGCTGGGACATAGCTCTGTTGATAGAGTGCTTGCCTCGCATGCACAAGGTCCTGGGTTCGATCCCCAACACCAAAAAATAAAAAACAAACCAAAAAAACCTTGGATTCCATTACAAGTTAACTTATCTGAGGATGCACTGTAAGTACATCATGTGCCCAAGTCCCAGGCGGTCACGTCCAGACCATTAAGGTTGCACAGTGTGGATGTAAAAAGATACTGAGCATCCAGCCCTAGCACACAGCCTACCCCAACACTTGTAGAGTGCCTGCCTTCTCTTCCCAGAGGCCTTATCAGTTTTGTTGAGTTACTTCCAGAGTAATGGTAACTTGGCATTGCTGTCCTCCATTGGTGATTCTCCATATTTGTTTTATGTATAAACTCTCTCCCACTGGAAATGAGTGTGTATGCATTTGGTACTAACAAAAAAGTGTGTGTGATTGAACCCCAGGGCCTTGCATGTGCTAGGCAAGTTCTCTACCATTTTTTTTTCCCCCTGAGACAGTGTCTCATTCAGTTCCCAGGCTGGCCTTGAACTTGCAATTTATTTATTTATTTATTTGGTATTGGCAAGTGAATCCAGGGGGCACTCAATCACCGAGCCACATCCCCAGGTCCTTTTTTTTTTTTTTTTTTTTTTTTGTACTCGAGGGCACTCAACCACTGAGCTACATCCCCAGCCCTATTTTGTATTTTATTTAGAGACAGGGTCTCACTGAGTTGCTTAGCTCCTCACCATTGCTGAGGCTGACTTTGAACTTGCAATCCTCCTGCCTCAGCCTCCCAAGCTGCCCCCAGCCCTTTTTTATGTTTTATTTAGAGCCAGGTCTCACTGAGTTGCTTAGGGCCTCACTAAGTTGTTGAGGCAGGCTTTGAATTTGTGATCCTTCTGCCTCAGCCTCCCAAGCCACTGGGATTATAGTTGTGCACCACCAAGTCCTGGCTGCAATACATTTTTTTTTTTTTTTTGCAGGGGTGGGGGGCTAATACTGGGGATTGAGCCCAGGTCCTTACACAGTACTCTACCACAGAATTACACCCCAGCCCTTTCACATGTAATTCTTTTGCCTTAGCCTTGCAAGTAGCTGGGATTACAGGATGTGCTCCCACACCTGGCTGAAAATGAGTTTACATTTTTAAAATTTTTTTTATTTTTTTAGTTGTTGATTGATGTTTATTTATTTACTTATATGTGATGCTGAGAATCGAACCCAGTGCCTCACCCATGCTAGGTAAGCACTCTACCACTGAGCCACAACCCCAGCTCATTTAAATTCTAATTTTTTTTGTGGGGGGGGATTGAACCCTGGGCCTTGTGCATGCAAGGCAAGCACTCTACCAACTAAGCTATATCCCCACCCCAAGTTTTTTTTTTTTAATTTTTTTTTTTAGTTGTAGATGGACATAATACCTTTATTTTATTTGTTTATTTTTTTTAATGGGGTGCTAGGAATCAAACACAGTGCCTCACCCATGCTGGGCAAGTGCTCTACCTCTGAGCCACAACCCCGGCCCTGAAAATGAGTTTTTAAAGGTCTCAGAGCACAGGGTTAGGAACAGAGTAGTCTCTGATCATTGCTGCTAACTGGCTCTTTCTTTTCCAGGGACAAGAATGGGGAGACTGCTGGTAGCCATGAGCTCCTGGGGTTAAATCAGGCTGGTAGTCATGGGGCTGGGATGGCCCCAGGCCTGGTTATTGGGCCTGCCCACAGCTGTGGTCTATGGCTCCCTGGCCCTCTTCACCTCCATCCTGCACAATGTGTTCCTGCTCTACTATGTGGACACCTTTGTCTCAGTGTACAAGATCAACAAAGTAGCCTTCTGGGTTGGAGAGGTAGGGTCAGCACTGGGCAGTCAGCCTGGTGGGTGCATAGGCTACTAGGTAGATGGCAGGTGCTGGGTCTCACCTATTCAGGGACATAAGGCAGGCCAGGTTGCCTACCAAGACTCAGCCAGAAAAGCTGGTGGAGGCTTTGATGACTTCTCAGTGGGGATTAGATTAGTTTCCTGGCTATTGTCATATATTCATTGTTCTTTACGTTCATGTACAGTACAATCACACATGCTAATTTGTCATCTGGTTATACTTACTAGCTGGGCCCTGGATGAGGCATTGATAAGTGAGTGGCTGGGAGTGTGGGTCTAAGCAGAGGAACTGACCGCAAGGTCTGCAGGCAGCACAGCTGGGGCCATCTTTGAGGGGTGGGGAGTTCTGCTAGAAGCTGCCTGGACCCCACTGTGCCCATCTCCTTTTGCCTGTAGACGGTGTTTCTCCTGTGGAACAGCCTCAACGACCCCCTCTTCGGCTGGCTAAGTGACCGCCAGTTCCTCAGCTCTCAGCCCTGGTTTGTATTTGGGGATGGCTCAAAAGAGCTTCAGTTCCCACCTGTCTCTTATACTGGAGGACCCCTGCCTGCATTCGGGGTGGGGAAAGAAAGGCCAGTTCAAGTGTTGGATGTGGATCCACTCCCTTCCCAGGGGCCAGGGCAGGCTCTGTCCAAGTTGAAAAATTGGCTTTGCCTAACCCCTGCCTTGCTTACCAGGGAAGAGACTGACCCCGGCTTGGCTTATGTGGCTTCTCAGAACCCTGCGCAGCAAACACCCTATGCTGCTCCCATCAGATTCCCTTTCCTCCATGCTTGGGCTCATCACTGCCCCCAAGCCTGAGAAGTGGGTATCCCACTGCCCTTTGGCCATCAACTGACAGACTAGAGGGGGGCGGGTAGGGCAGAGGAAAGAGTGTGCCCACTGGTAAGCTGTGTTTCCTAAGTTGGAGACTGGAGACTGGGTGCATCCTGATGTGTACCCTACATTCAAGGCCTCTGTCCCTCCTCTGAGGCCCGGATGGGAACTGGGGCCAGCCAAGGCCAAAAGGGCATTTCCCAACACCCTCCTCTCCCTGGCAGGTCAGGCGCCAGGCTCTCCTCAAGGGCTGTGGTGCTGGCACGGGTACGGGTGCTGGGCAGACACGGGCCACTGCTGGCACTGTCCTTCCTGGCATTCTGGGTGCCTTGGGCCCCAGCTGGCCTACAGTTCTTGCTGTGCCTGTGCCTCTATGATGGCTTCCTGACACTCGTGGACCTTCACCATCATGCCTTGTTGGCCGACCTGGCACTCTCGGCCCACGACCGCACCCATCTCAACTTCTACTGCTCCGTCTTCAGTGCAGCTGGCTCCCTCTCTGTCTTTGCCTCCTACGCCTTTTGGAATAAGGAGGACTTCTCCTCCTTCCGCGCCTTCTGCGTGGCACTGGCTGCTGGCTCTGGGCTGGGCTTTCTGGGGGCCACGCAACTACTGAGGCGGCGGGTTGAAGTGGCTGGAAAGGACCCTGGGTGCTCAACCCTGGCCATGGATGGTGGGTGAGTGGCCATCCCTGTCTCTCCAGGTATAAAATCTGATTTCAATGCTGGGATCCTAGGCTGATGCTGAGTCCTTTGGCTGATGGGTGGCTGCTCTAGGGTGGGAGCAGACTCTGGCCCAGCCCCAGCAGTTCTCAACTCCCCTCTGCCCATAGCCTGTATGGAGAGGAGCTGCTAGTGGGCAGTGAGGAAGTGGGCAGCATCACCTTGGGCCAATACCTCCGGCAGCTGGCACGCCACCAAAACTTCCTGTGGTTCGTGGGCATGGACCTGGTGCAGGTATTGGGAATGGTATCTTTCCCCCAGTGACTGGGCTATCTCACACTCTAGTGGACAGGTGCCTCAGGAGTTGGGCACTTAGGAGGCCTTGCTGGGCAATTTGGTGACAGGGACAAGGTTGGGATATTAAACCTGGGTCATAGCATTCTCTGAATGATTTCAGGTAGGTCTCAGCCTCTCTGGGTAGCCTTATCCTTACTTATAAAGTGAGGGATGAAAGATTGTCTCCTATTGGGACTCTGTTATAATCTTTTTAAAACACCAGGTGCCACTCCTAAAACCCATGTAGTGTACAAATTAGCCACATTTAGAAATCAATTTTTTTAATGTCTTGAGACTTGTTTTACTAATGTGTTTTCAATTAAAAGAAAAACTTATTCCAATTACCATTTTATTATGTCTCTAACTTTTTGATAACCAACAGGAATGTGGCTTTAGATCTTTTTTCTGGCATGTTCCATGTTTAGGGACTTGGGGACAGAAGCCAGTTCTCTACTGCTCTGAGGACCAGGGGACATGTGCTTCCCCTATTGGCTTATGGCCCTGCTGGGGTCACCCTCCTTACTGCCCTGTTGGCTTATAGGTGTTCCACTGCCACTTCAACAGCAACTTCTTCCCCCTCTTCCTGGAGCATCTGCTGTCAGACCACATCTCCCTCTCCACTGGCTCCTTCCTGTTGGGTGAGTGGGTGCCTCAGGCAGGCTAAAGGACAGAGGCTGTACCCAGAGCCCCTAGCCCAGCTGCAGGCGTGGTCTAGCTGAAGGCCAGGTGGCAGAGGGCAGGGATGAATCTGCCAGGGAATTGCACCTTGGGGCCAGCTCTGTTTTCCTGAGGTGGTGGGTTTCCGGGAGGGACTGATGCACAGGCTAATCCTCTTGGTGATGGTGCCACCCAGAGGCATTATGGTGCAGTGCAGTGGTTGCTTAGCAGTGAGGACTATATCTGGTAAGCCTGGGTGTGTCTTGACCATGTTCTCTCCCTGGGTGGTCTTCAGTATGTCATTTTTTGGGGTCTCCCTTTCTCACTTGTAAAGTAAGGAGAAAGCCTGGATGTGTGGGCTCCACATCCGTGGACTCAACCAACCACAGATTAAAAATATTCAGGAAAAAAAATCGCATCTGCATTAAACATATAGTCTTTTTTTCTTGTCATTAGCCCCTAAACAATATAGTTTATATCAATATGTATCAAATAGTATGACAATTTATATTTATATATTAAATAGTATGACAATTGACATGTATATGGTATTAGGTTATTATAAGTAATAGGAGATAATTTAAAGTGTGTATGTGGGATGTGACTAAATCAGATGCAAATACTATGTCCTTTTATTAAAGGACTTAAACATCTATGGATTTTGTTTTCCCTGGGTGATCCTGGAATCAGTCTCCTGAGGATACCAAGGGACAACTCTTATTTACTTTAAAGGCTTGGGAAGATTAGATATAAACATGTGGTGTGGTGATACACACTTATAATCCCAGCTACTCCAGAGACTGATGCAGCAGGATCACAAGTTCAAAGCCAGCCTGGTCAAGTTAGCCAGACCTTGTCTCAAAATAAAATTTCAAAGGGCCGGGAAAGCCAGGCATGTTTGCATGTCTGTAATTCAGGCAACTCTGGAGGCTGAGACAGAAGGATTGCAAGTTCAAAGCTAGCCTCAGCAACTTAGTGAGACCATGTCTCAAAATTTTTATAAAGGATTGTAAATATAGCTCAGCATCCTTGGATTCAATCCCCAGTACCAAAAAAAAAAAAAAAAAAGAAAGAAAGAAGGAAAGGGCTAGGGAAGTAGTTCAGTGGTATTAAATTTGCCTGGTATATGCAAGGCCCTGGGTTTAATCCCCAGTGCCAAAAAGAAAAATTAAAAAGTGTGTGACACTCTTAGCACAGAGCCCAGCACATTGTTAGTGTGCAGTTGATGCAAAGTCTGATTCTTAGAGTTACAATGTCAATCACTGCTGAGGCTATGGCAGTGCCCCTGACAAGGCAAGGCCCTCTTCCTTCCCCAGGTGTCTCCTATGTCGCTCCCCATCTCAACAACCTCTACTTCCTGCCCCTGTGTCAGCGCTGGGGCGTCTACGCAGTAGTGCGGGGTCTCTTTCTGCTCAAGCTGGGCCTTAGCCTGCTCATGCTGGTGGCTGGCCCAGACCATCCTGGCCTGCTCTGCTTCTTCATCGCCAGGTATGCTTCTGCTCGCACTCATCCCCGCCCCCACCCCCACCCCTTTATCCCACCTTTCACCCTTGCCTACTCCCTCTGCTGGCAGCAACCGTGTTTTCACTGAGGGCACCTGCAAGCTGTTGACCCTGGTGGTCACTGACCTGGTGGATGAGGACCTGGTGCTGAACCATCGTAAACAGGCGGCCTCAGCGCTTCTCTTTGGCATGGTTGCCCTGGTGACCAAACCAGGCCAGACCTTTGCCCCATTGCTGGGCACCTGGCTGCTCTGCTTCTATACAGGTGAGGCTCCATGGGTACAGCTTACCCGGAACACCACCTGACAATCTTGTCTCTGGGTCCAGTGAGGAAGAGAAAATGGCCACTTGCTAGGCCCAGGCTATCCTGGGCTGCTAACCAGGATAGCCTTTCCCACACAGGTAGAGGAACTTGGTCTCAGATTCATTTATTCTTTCATTAATTTGTTCATCCATTCAGTGAGTATAGAACACCTACTCTGTGTGCTGGGGAGATCACAATGAGTAACAGACAAGGTCTTTGTTATCACAGATCTTATACTCTAATTGGGAGCAGGGTGTTGGCAATAAACAACAAACAAGAATGTATCAAATAATGGTGAGTGTCTGGTAAAATAGATGGGGAAAGATGAGACCCTGTGGCTGAGAAGCCGCTAAATATGGCTATACAAGGCCTCTCCTTGAAAGTGACCCTCAGGATGTGAACTGAATGGCAAGGTTTGGTCAAGAAAAGGTCTCAGTGAATAATAGGCAGAGGGGATGGCAAATGTGCAATTGATGCAAACTCTGATTCTGAGAGTTACAATGTGTATCAGGAGATTTGGAGAGAACTTTGTACAGGGTTTGGATTTTATTTGTTACACAGGGAAGATATTGGGAGAGTTACAAGCTGTGCAGTGACATGGTCTGATTTTGTTTGTTTATTTATTTATTTTGCGGTACTATGGATTGAACTCAGGACCTCTCATGCCCAGGAAAGTATTCTACCACTGAGCTACACCTCCCAGCTTTTTAATTTTTTGTGGTGCTTGAGGTTGAATCCATGGCCTTGTGCATATAAAGGCAAACACTCCACCAACTGAGCTTTATCCCTAGCCCCTCCCAGCTCTTTTTAAAAATTCCTATTTTGAGACAGGGTCTCACTAAGCTGCCTAGGCTAGCCTTGAACTTGTGATCCTCCTGCCCCCCCCTCCCCGCCCCACCTGCCAGTAGCTGGGAATCCAGGAATGGATCACCATGTCTGCTCTGATGGATGTTTTGGAAAGTTCACTGTGGCTATTTTATGGGAGGACAGATTGGATCATAGGGAAGCCAGAGTGGGAATAGCAGGAGGATAATTGGAAGACTGTGACAGAGGCAATGGAGTGTTTGAGCCAGTGTGGTGGCAGGCGGGATGCATTTTGGAGTTGGAGGAGACAAAGACTGGGTATTGGAGAGTGATGAAGTTAACTAAGGAATTGAGGCAGGCCTGCAGGATTTGGCCTGAATTATTGGGTAGATGGTGGTATCATTCACAAAAAGGGAAGATTGGGAGGAGCAGGTTTAGGGGAGGCATCAAGAGTTGTGGTTTGGGACACATGACATTTGAAATGTCACTCCATGGACTTTGGAAAGGAACTGGCTGACCATATACTTTCTATGCTCTCTTGTCCTAGGTCATGATCTTTTCCAACAGCCTCCAATGACCCCTGTTGGGAGTGCCCAGCCCTGGCCAGAGCCACCAGCTCCAGCCCCAGCACAGGCCCCCACGCTCCGCCAGGGCTGCTTCTACCTGCTGGTGCTGGTACCTATCACTTGTGCACTGCTGCAGCTCTTCACCTGGTCCCAGTTCACACTGCACGGGAGGCGCCTGCACATGGTCAAGGCCCAGCGCCAGAATTTGGCACAGGTCCCAACCCTGGACATTAAGACAGTGTGAGAGGTGCAGTAAGGCTACCCTGTTGAGGACACTGCCCCAGTCAGGGAGCAGGAGCCACTTTTGCCAGTGTCCTGCTAGTGCACCTTCTTTGGGTGCAGCATAGAGGAGATGGCAGATGGGAGCTCCTGGAACTTAGCTAGGAATGTCATTGAAGTCTTTTCCTCCCTAGCTGCCTGGCTCAGTTTGAGCAAGGGCTGGGCTGTATGTGCTCAGAGACATGGTTCCTCTGTGGGGCAGGAGGAAAGAGGACCAGAAGGGATGGGACTACATGTGGTGACTGCCAAGGGGCATGGAGGCCCATCCTACTGTCAGCTAGGGCTGGCTGCTCTAGCAGGCTTGAGAACCACTTTTGATAACACAACTGCTCCCTTTTGCCTAGTCAAGGGAAGCCTACTCTAAGTGCCACTTGCCACTGCCTCCTAGTGTTTTTTTTTTCAGAGGGTTCTTCTTTAGCTGTTTGAAGTAGCATGTTCCTTCTGTTGCAGGACTCTCCCATCAATACACCTCTGGAGAAGCTCATTTTGTTACAGATTGATTAAAGCCAGTCATTCCTACTCCTTAGGTCCATGTAAGAGAGAGGGAGAGGGAGGGAAAGAGAGCTGGGTTGGTGGGAATGGGAGTGGGAATCCTATTCCTCACTCAACAGGTAAAACACCCGAAGAGGATTTTCCTAAATAAAAGGTGGCTATCTGCATCAGACTTGCTGGGGTGCAGGGACAAGAATGCAGATTGCTGGTTTCATGGGTACTGGAGGCCAAAGTGACTTTCAGGCCTGGAGTCGGCCATCCCAGTGTTTTTCCCAGGCACTGCTGCTAGACATGGTCATCAAACAGGAGTCTCTATTGGGTCAGAGGTTCTCAGCCTGGGGACTACCTGGGCTTCAAAAAGTATCAAATTCTGACTTATTAGGGCTTGAATATGACCTGAGTAGTAGTAAGATTTCAAAAACCTCTGTAGATGATTTTTCTTGTGACTGGGATTGAAAACCATTGTTCTGAGCCAGCATGTTTCAGCCTTGGCACTAGAGATACTAGGGCAATTTGCATTGCATGTTACCATCCTTGGCTTCTACTTACCAGATGCCAATAGTAACCTCCCAGTTGTGACAACCAAACATGTCTCCAGATAGCAAGTTGTGTCCTAGGGGCAAAACTGACTCCAACTGGGACTCATTGCTTAAGGCCAGAGATTTTGAGGATCTGCTCAGGGATCAAAAGGTAGGCTCTAGGGCTGTATTGCTTAGGAATACACCCCAGCTAATAAATGGGAGAACTTTGGGAAGTTGCTTCATGGATCATAAAAACACATATACTTTGTAGGGTTATTGGGAAGATTAAATGGCTAAGCACCTGACAATTTTCCTGCCAGGTATGGGTTCAAATGGGAAAAAAATGATTAATCAGAATATCTGAGTGTGGGCCACGATAAGCTCCCAGACTTTACATGAAAGTTTGGAAAACCTCTGACTTCAGGGGTGTCAAGAGCTACTCATCATTTATATAGCTACTCCATCATTTATAATAGAGCCTCACCCATGGCTTTAGTGTGCACACAGGAGTTAGACCCTTGGTTTTTAAACTAAGGCTTTGGTGTGAACATCCTTTTTTGGTACTGGAGATTGAACTCAGAGGTACTTTACCACTGGGCTACAACCCCAGTCCTTTTTATTTTTTGAGGGTCTGACTAAGTTGCTAAGGCTGGCCTTCAACTTGTGATCTTCCCACCCGAGCCTCCTGGGTTGTTGGGATCACAGGCAGCTGAACATTGTTTTCATCTACCTGACAGGCTGAGGGTTCGGCTGCAGTCTGTCCATATTCAGTTATGCCTGCTAGAGGACAGACTAGGCCTGGTCACTGCCTCAGATTCAGAGACTGCAGCTTCTCCCTCTTCCCACCCAACACTGGCCACAGATGAGAGGCCCAGTTGACATGTGTATTGGAACAACTTTATTTAAGTACACTGGGCCCCACCAGGCAATGTGGTTTGTGCGAGGCTGTGTGAGGGACGGGCTTGGGCTAAGAGAAGGGGGGTGAGCTGGTTAAGCACACTGCAGTCCGTGGGTTGCCACATCGCTTTCACACACCTGCTTTGGCCCACATCTGGCAGGGGCCTTTGGTCATAGGATGGCGTAGGGACGAATACTGCCTGGAATCTAGGACTAGGTTGGGACTTGGTGTCACAGGTGAGGGTCCCAGTGAAGACAGGCTCCCCCAGCTTTGTACCATCTGGGTTGAAGGCCTTTGGGCCACTACTAAGGGCCAGGCCTGAGCCCTCCTGGCACTCTGGTCTGGCCCTTTCCTTCCCTCCCTTCCCAAATAGGTCCAAAGATGAGAACAGCACATGATCAACCCAGAGGGGGCATTCCTGCCCTTCAACCTAGTCCCCCTGCTCAGCTAGAGTGCAAAAGGCAACTTGGTTAACTGCAGCTTTCCCCAGTCTCAGGGGGACTGTGTCCCCAATGCCCACCCCTTGCAAGGGGCCTCTGCTGAAGAGTGATTCTATCTCGTTTCAGGGTGGTGAGCAAGTGCAGGAGGGAGGAAAAAAAAAGGGCTGGTGGGGGGAGTGTAGCCTTCAATCCCAAAGGGTCCTGAGGCCTATGGATACTGTCAGTTCACCATCAGTAGGGAGTGGTGAGGCCCTGGATGCTACACTAAACCTAGGTGCTGTAAACATTAGTGTGAGCAGGGTGACTAGTAGGCAGGAAGCAGTGAGCCCCCCTCCCCAGTCCCCTTATTGAACAAACACTTCAATAAATAAAATTGTTAAGATGGCATTGAAACAAGGATGGATGAGAAGCGAGTAATAGGACCAGAGCCAACAGGCTCCTTAAACTCTCCCAAGACCCTCTGGATGGAACTGGAGCTTGAAGCATTAACTCTGCAGCCAATCAGAGCTGGTCTCTTCAAGTGTCCAGTGTGGTCTTGGTGTACAGGTGGACATGAGGGCTCCCTGCTCTCTCCTTACCCTAGTCTCTATAACCATAATGGAGAGCTTCTCAGCCTCCCAAACCCAAACCTCAACAAAACGAGAGGGACCTAGCCCCAGTCCCAGTCCTCAGTCCATGATCAAGAGGCACCGATAGCAGAATGAGGAGCTAGGGAAGGCAGCAGCTGCTTTGGACCTCAGGGCACCCTGGAGGTGGTGGTAGGGTGGGACCAGCCCAGCCTAGGCAGGGCAGCAGCAAGATCTACCTCTGGTGGCAACCAGGGTCCCACACAGCCAAGCAAAGGCCCAGCTGAGAAAGGAAGTGGGGCCTCTGCCAGAGCTCTTCCCTGTCAGGGGCCAGTTAGTGGTCAACCCCAGGCCTCAGGCCATCACCATCATGGGTAGTTCATCATTCTTTCCGGGCCCAGGGATCCCTGGGCCACATGGCCCTGGCATACGCGCATACACTCGTACCCACACACACTCACACACACAGGCAGTTCCTCGCAAACACTCCGACTCAAGAAAGCGAGTTTTAAAGTGGAGTTAACTTCAGAGAGAGGTGAAGATGATGTCTCAACATTAGAAGGTTTTCCTGTGGATGGATCGGGCACCATCTTCCTCATATTCCTTCTTAGAGACCCACATCTTCTTAAAGGTGTCCAGGGAGGCAAGGATAGAGCCCCTGAAGTGGAGGGAATCCAGAGGAACAGTGTGAGACACTGAATTCATGGAGCCAGCTAGTACCCCTGGGGCCAAAAGAGATGAGGCCACCCTTTCAAGGATGGGAGTGAGAGTTAATCAATGCTTTTGCTTCCTGTTCCACTCTTATTTCCAGAAAAGCTACTCACCCAATCCATGTAGAGTACAGTCTCTCCTGAGGGGCAGATATCTGCAAAGGTGGGTGGAAAGAGAAATCTGAGACTTCAATACCTCTACCTCCCTTCTACCACTTGTCTCCCCATAGAGGGTAGTGGATGTAATCCATGTAACAGGCTTTAAGCTTGGCTCCTGCTGGACTCTTGGTCTCTCTGGAGAGTACTGTGGCTAGTCTGATACTCAATGGGGAAGCAGGAACTACACTCTTTCATTTAGGGTCCCTCCTCAGCAGGCGGTTAACTCCCCTTAGCAGCAGGCGGTTAACTCCCCTTAGCAGTCACTTAAGATGTTGGACTGTGTTACAGGGGAGCCTCCTGGGCAGGAGGTAAGTCAATCTATCAATTTCACTTTCTCTTTTTAAAAAAAAAATTTTTTTTTTTTGTAGTTGTAGATGGACAGCATGCTTTTATTTTATTTATCTTTATGTGGTGCTAAGGATCGAACCCAGTGCCTTACACGTGCTAGGAAAGTGCTCTGCCACTAAGCTATAGCCCCAGCCCAATATCACTTTCTCTTAAGGACTACTTGTGGGGTCTTTAGCACAGTAGTACCCTGCCACATCTGGGTACTGAACTCCTTTTGAGTGATGAATGAGAATGGGTTCTTCCCTCTAGCAGACCTAGACCTCAGGGTCACTGTGTAAGCTGGGAGCCACCTGGCACTGCTTATGGAGCCCTGGCAGCCCGAAAACCAGCCCAAAACCGAAAAGGGCCCAAGGGAGGTCACACCATGTGGCACTCCAGGTCCTTGGAGCCCCAGTTCTACCCAGCCCAACCCCCACCACATTCCTACCCTGATCTTCACATCTTTTGGAGCCAGTTTCTTTACTTCACTCAGTAGCCTGTCACCAAAACCTGAATGGGCAGAAAAAGAGACTCAGGTAAAAAATTATTGGGTTGTCTGAGCCCAGCAGGATCAGGATGCTTCTTGGGGACCCAAGAGCAAAGACCAACCTTTAAACAGTGTGGAGCCTCCAGAGAGGACAATGTTGGAGAAAAGTGTGCGCCGCAGGTCCATGTCAGACTTCTGAATGGCAAATACCAGGACCTCATGGATGCCCTCGCTCTCCTCACCAATCAAGTCCGGTCTGAACAGCAGTTCAGGAGCCCGGAATCGGGAAGGACCAATCTGCAGAGTGAAGGGCCAACTTAAGAGGTTGGGGCTGGGACCCAAGTTCTTTGAGAGTGTGAATGGAAGAGATGCAGGCTGCCCATCTCTTAGTAAAGCTAGGAATGCCAGGATCAAGACAGACCCTATATGTAAAGGGCCTCAAATAGAGCTTCTGGGAACAAAATAGAGAATAAAAAGGAACAAATAGAGCTCTTGGGAAAACAGAGGAGGAGCTCCTACATTTACTCAATCTCAGGCATTTTTGAGCTCAGAGATTTCATTCATTCACTCATAGAAATTTATTCATATCAATGGGAGTTCCAGGGAGCAGCAAGTCACCTTATACTGTGTCCAGGACACAGACACCATACTACTTCCCAATCAATCCTGACCTAGGAAAAGCCCCCTAGAGTGTCCTCCTCTCCATACAGAGGGACAAAGTCCATACTTCTACTCTGTAGGACACAGAAAGCTGATCATGCTGCCTGTGAGTTCCATGTTCTAGGCCCTCGTGGGGAGTTCTGTTTGGGCTCAGAGCTTTTGTGGGTCTTAGGAGAAAGAGGAATGAGGTCTGGTCACTACCTCAATGGTGCTGCCATCTGGCAGGTAGTACTGAGCCTTCTCCGTCTCTAGCGTCTCA